AATCTTGCTATGTATCCACTTCTGCTTGCCATGAGCTCACACGGGGCTTGATACCACTAGGTAGGGTGCCCGTGCTCCTCTGGGAATATGAGTGTGGAAATGCTCAAGTAGCCGGTTGTGCTGAATTCAAAAAAAGCTGTTTAAGGACATTGTAGAACTTGTAGCATTGATCAAGTAGAACTTACCGGTATATACTAGTGTGTCTTTTTTCTGTACTGCAAACACTTTCTGGTTTTCTCTCTGTTCCTTAGCACTCCCAGTTACAACTATGCTCCAAACCCAGACAAGCACTGGATAATGAGGTATACAGGTCCCATGAAACCTATACACATGGAGTTCACTAACATGCTGCAGAGAAAACGCCTTCAAACACTCATGTCTGTGGATGACTCTATGGAGATGGTAAGATTAGTAGTTAATATTTTTTTTGGCTAAACAGGTGATTTTTTCTTGAGTTAAGCTTCAAGCTATGCTGTACATGAAGATAAGAGGTAAGGAAGGAGGACTGCATCAGTTTTTTAGTAGTGTACAGTTCTCTCACTTCTGAGGATTTTATCTGTCTATTCAATATTTAAGGATCCTCATTTCCTAAAGACAGGTACAGTGAGTTGGGAGCTGATTTTTTTTTTTTGTCACAGCCACTACTGATTAAGGGGAAGAGGGAGGAATCCCCTCAAAAAATGTACTTCATAAATTCTAAAAAAGTATGATGTGATAGTGAAAAGTCACCCTACAACCTATTGGAAGTGACTGCCTGCCTGTGAGCCTGTTTTGATCCTGTAACACTGAATTTCTGAGAGAAGAACAGCAGCAGCAGAAAAAAGTGATGCTCCCAGAGTCCTAACTGCAATAACCCCATGGTAAACCAGGCCCAGGACACTAACTATTGGAAGTAGATAAATACGTAGGTAGATATTTTTTTTAATTAAGCCTGCATTATATGGCAATGAAATCTCTTAGTGCAAGCCGGGTGTCACAAACAAATGTCTGAATTACCTAAAAGCTACTCTTGAAATAGAAGGGATTTCCAGCTGCAAGAAGGCAGATTTAAAGGTGCTGCAGTTTACTGCCTATCTCTTGGCATTCTTATTCAAAAAAGGTAGAACATAAAATAAGAGTCCTGTAAGGCAAAGATGAGATTATCTGGATGACATTGCATCAACTTGTTAGTAATGTCTTATAATTACTGATTCAGGCAAGTATGATCTCTACTTCATACTAATGAACCTGTTTGGATGAATCAGATACAAGCCTTAGGGGAGAACAGCTATTTTAATACACTATTTTGTTTTACTGTTTAGTAAAATGTTTTCACTTTGGGTGATTCACTGCAGGCAAAATCAGTTGGGTTGTTTTTCAGTTGTAATCGCCAACTTAGGATCTTTTCTACTGAATTGTATGCATTTAATAGCCTTTCAAAATCTAAAAATACAAAGCTAAATCAAACACAAACCCAAAAAAGAAGCAACCACTCCCAAACCAAAACAACAACAGAGTTTTTCTTCTGTACTGACGTGTTCTGGATCTGTGTGAGGCACCACTTAAGTGGTACCCCACCACCTTCATACCTTTGCAAGTGAAAATACCACATAAAAAATTGATCTTCAGTGCTCAAGTTAATCTGCTTCACGTGAAGATAAGCATGTAAATATATAGAAAGAGGAGCTTTAACTCTGTGGTTCCTAATTCTCCATGTTATTCCTCCAGCTAGTGAGAAAGTATACAGGGTATTTATCTAGAAGAGATTTTGAAAATATTCTGCATAATGTGGACTTCCTTGTCCAAAGGCAAGATCGTTGAGTGTTGCTTAAATAAGTGCAAGATTCAAAATGTTGTCATTTTATTAAAATGGTTTGCTCCAGGAAAAAGGTAAAGGTGGAGAGAAAATTTTAAAAATGCTTATAATTTTTGAATTTTTCTCTCAATTGGCATATGTTTTTAGTACTCTTTTTGGCAGCTCTCATAAAAATACTTTTGAAAATGTGGCATGCTCATTAATGTGTTTACCTGAGAACAGAAAACAGAAGTTTGTCTTTAATAGCCACAATATTTGGTTAGTAAAATTATTACATAATTATGGATTATTCAGCATGGTTCATTGTGGTAACAGTGCCATTCTGAACTGTTGTTATTAATTCTCATATTACATATAGGCAGAAAATTATATCAATATTCTACATATAGTACTATTCAGTGGAATAAATTTTATACTTTGTTTTGCTTTTTTTTCAGATTTACAATACATTGGTTGAAATGGGTGAACTGGACAACACATATATAATATATACAGCAGACCATGGTTATCATATTGGGCAGTTCGGGCTGGTGAAAGGGAAGTCCATGCCATATGAGTTTGATATCAGAGTTCCTTTCTATGTCCGAGGTCCAAATGTGGAAGCTGGGTCCTTGTAAGTGCTTGGCTATTGTGTGTGTGTGTGTATGTGTAGTAACCAGAAAAATCCTTCATGGTCACATCTTTAGCCATGTTGACCTGGCATCCAGATGGAGGCACAAAGCTCTGCCCATCCTGACTGAGCTCCTGCTCGTCTTTGGCAGAAAAATGTATCTGCTCAGAAAGTAGCAACTGACAGTGTGTGCTGGTATCACATAGTCAAGGGTTCACACTGCTGCCTTTTTGCTTGTGTAGGTGTGCAGCAGAAACCACTACACTTACCTGGACGTAGTTGAAAAAGTTGCTTTGAAATGTGTCCAATCTAGAAAACGCTTATTTGCCTTCTTTTGAGGGGTGCAAATAATACACACATAACTATGATGTTTTCCAGGTGAAAAGCAGATTGTATTGATGTTCACTGCCACTGTAGGTAATTACTGCCAAAAATTAAAGTGGAGTCACTGGTTTATGAAGGAGAATGTATGTATAGTAGTTCATGTATTATCATCCACAGAGGATTCTTTTTGCTTCACCCTATGAGATTATATGGTTAGGGCTGTTTATTGGATGCACGCAAGCATGCAGAATGTGACTCTTAATTAAAATGGTAGCTTTGATCAGCTAAGAAATTATGTAGATACACTTTCCAAGCAATTATTTCCCTAGCAAATATTTGCACTTAAGTAACGATTTTGGACAGAGTGCCATCGTTTGCTGCCTTTTATTTATATCAGTGTGCATGTTTTAGCATAATTAACACACACAAAGTCTTCCATGCACAATTTTTTTTTTTTTTCTTTACCTCAGAGGAACAGATACCTAGTGTGTAATACAGCAGGAAATAGTTATAGAAACGTCTTGTTCCAGTTGCTGGCTAAATTAACCAATTCACATTATCAGTAGGTAAAAAAATGTACCATTCTGTAGATATTGCACTGTATGTCTAATTTACTTAGAGCAGTTACACATGTGAGGTTAAGCAATACTACTTCTCTAAAGAGGAGGGGAGGAATTCCTCAGGTGGAATTAAATATATTACCTCTGCACTGAAAGAAGATGGTCTGCAGCAGCACAGAATTTCAAGTGAGACGGAATTGCCGTGAGAACATTTTCTCTTCCCCTCCTGCTGCAGTTTTTGGTCTTACTAGAGAGGCAAGGCTAATATGGCTCAAGTGGACTGAGCTAGTTTTTCTGCAGCATGCAATGCTAGAGACCAGACACCTCATGTCTGCTCTAGTTCAAGGATTTTTACACCCAGACATACATAAAAGCTGTGAAACCTTCACACTGAATTTTATTTTTCAGTGGCTTCTGAATATTAAAAAATGTTTCTGTTAGAGAAATCAACCTGATAGCGCCTAACAGAACAGAGCCCATCACAGCACAACAAAATAGGAGGAACAGGATAAAATACCTTGGGTGGAGAGTATATCAGATAATAAATTGATCCTCCCTTTCAGCCTGATTTTCTTTAAGTGCTAAAATTTCAGTCATCCATGTTTTCCATGAGCCTTTTGTTTTTCTTGCAGAGTAGTTGTCATGACTCCCTTTTGATATCAACGAAGATTTAATAGCAGACTGTAGCAAGTCATTACTAAGCTCTCATTTCTGTTACCAAATATGCTACAGCACAATTATTAGTAATTAAAATCAAATTAGGTACATCAATTTAATTCATCATCCATGCTCTTGTCAGTGCCTGTTTGCTTGCTCGCTCAAAAATGTAGTAATTTTAAAATGGTGTCTCATTAATTAGTGTGAATTTAGCAGCTTTTTTCTGTCCTGTGTTTTGAGCTAGAATTCTGCACTGACATGTATAACAGCCCATCTGGTCCCATCCTTGCTTTGTGCCTGCAAATCATAGCACAATGTTGCTTTATGTTCAGTGCTGTAGACTACTGTATGTGTAGCAGTATGGCTTACTTTCTGTTTGGGGTTTGGTGTTTGTTTGTTTGTTTTTTGTTTGTTTGTTTGTGGGGTTTTTTTTTGTTTTTGTTTTTTCATTTTAAGAAAATGAATGCCTGCCTTGAATTTTTTTAAAAGAAATAATGAAGATAAATAGTACACAGATGACAAACAGTATGTAGACATATAATATTGTGAGTAATTATTCAACACTGTAATAGATAAATTTGAAGTGAGTTTGTAAGGTTCAATATGAACTGAAAACACTTCTGCAAAACCAGCCCCACAGTAAAAGCAAGCCACGTGATTGGAAATGTGGGCAGTTGTTTGGCAGTGGAATGGCAGGCTGTGCAACTGGATGCTCTGACCCATTAACTCTCTCGTATTTAGGAGTTCAAGGGATCTGGGGACAGAGGCTGTCTGTACTACTTAGGAGCTGATGCTACTGTTTTAACTAAGTTTGAAGTCAATTTTAGTTCAAATATTGGCCCATTAACTCTGGTGGCTGAGGAGCATATGCCATACTCTGCTGAGTAAGAGGGCAAGGCTTTTTCAAAGTTCTTGCAGAATGGATAACTGTGGACTTGGGAAGATTTATATTATTTCAATTAAAGCTGTTCTTTTCTTTTTCTTGCTGTCTTTATTTATTTCCTTTTTCTATGCAACTGCTTTCTCTCTGCTTTTTCTTCCCTGATTCCTTTCCATTTTCTTTCTCATGCTGCATATTAACAGCAATTTTTAGTTGCTGTAGTGTTTAGCAACATATTTCTCCTTGTGTTCTCTTCAGAACATGCTTGCTGTGATGTGAGCTGAGGAACTTATTTCTATACTATATTTTGAAACAGATAAAGCATGTGCTACCTGCCAAATCTACTTTGTAGTAAAGTCATCAGGATATTTGGCAGATGTTTTGAATTCTGTAAGACACCCAAGGAGTTTTTCCAGTGCGCTCTCATGTTTTGAAATACTTTTGAACCCTCTTTTGCAATAATTAACTTTGCCTTAAGAACTATTTTGCCTTCTCGAAAGTGCTTGCTCTGTGCTAGAGTTTTAAATCTTCATATTAGTCCCTCTTGATGTTGTGCAGCTTACCTATATTTTACATTTTCATTCCCTTCATGGAAAGGAATTGCCTTGTGTCCTCCTTTCTTCTTTGCAGATATCACAAAATAAGCCTTTTCAGGTCCTTGGTCTCTGTGGAAGAGGTGGAGTTGCTTGATGGCATTGGATAGACCTTAAACCAGGTTCTCCTCTGTGTTTTTTCAGGAATCCCCACATTGTGTTGAATATTGATCTTGCACCTACAATTCTAGATATTGCTGGATTGGATATTCCATCTGATATGGATGGTAAATCTATTCTAAAGCTTCTGGATTCTGAGAGACCAGTGAATAGGTAAGAAATGGGAATGTGCATGGAAACGTGCATGTGTTTGTACAGAAGACTGAACAAGTATTCAGCAACATGCAGCAAATTTAAAGAAAAATATGATAAAACTAACATCCATATGAGTACATCATTCACTGGAAAATCTGAAGTTCTATTTGGCAATTTGTGACTGACTTCAGCTATTTATTTTCATTCTGTCAGATTCCTATACTAGCTGTTTGGCATAATATAGCATCTGGATATACTAAATGTATTCTGTAGCAGTGGAAGGGCTACACTTGAAGGTCTTTGGCTATATGAGTTACAGATTTTAAATGTCTCTGTGGCATCATTTGTAGCAAAGCATTTAATTTTGAATAATTTGTAGAATAATTGAGTTGAAAGGGTTGTTTGTTTATCAGACTTATAAAGATATGGGAACACTCAGAACGGGACAATTATTTGAGAACTTATATCAATACTTTCACTGGAAAAAGGCTGAGGAAGATAATTAAACTGGATGCTTGCTAGAAAAAATCAGCAGAAAAAAGGGAATAAGTAGTTGGGTGGAGGGATAGGAGGAAAAGAGCAGCTGCTTTAGAACGGGATTCTTTGGGGGCAGTGTGCAGGTTAAGAACCCAAACTGGAGTCAGGAAACCCTGATTTAATTTGCGATCCTTTGTGATCAAGGACAGTTCAGTTAATCCTCTGTGCCTTAAACATGCTTATGTTGAAATAGTTGTACTGTGTGAATCTGCTGTGGATTTTGTCCCTGTGAGAACAAATCTGTGCTATGCTTGTTCATGAATTACACTGAAGAGGCATATGTGCCTAGTCTGTAAAGCTGGATGTCCTCTTGTTCAGTTACGTGTAATGGTTATCATCTGAATTGGGGGTGGGAGAGAAAATGGGTATGACTTCATTACTGGTTTTGTGGGAATTGCTTCTTCCTCTAGTTTTCCTCCTAGGTTCCATTTAAAGAAAAAAATGAAGGTGTGGAGAGACTCGTTCCTAGTGGAAAGAGGGTAAGGAAAGTGTTAATCGCAAAGCCCACTGTTTTAGATAGGATACTGAATAGCTAAAGCCAAAGCAGCACTCTACCACAGACCTAAAGCCATTTAGCTGTGCCAGCAGCACAGTGTGCCAGCAGGCTGCAGTATGCCTCATGGCAGTGATTGTTTGATAGGAGGGTATGCATGGCCTCTGCCTGCAGGAAAGTGCTGTTGGGGTGGGAGGAGGGGAGTTCTGCTTGGATTCAGAGATGGAAAGGTGTTGCTGTAGAGGTGGTCCAGGGGGGACACAGACTCCAACATCAGAAGGTGAAGAAATGGCAGATACTATATTACAGTAAGAGACTTTTATAGATTCATTGGGTTATTGACATTCATGTTACAGGTTTATTGGCTGCTGAATTGCTACGGTACATTCATTGGTCCCTGAACCAAACATTCACCAAAGCCAAGATGCAGAGTTGTTTATCAGGTGTTTATTGTTCCATTCTCACAGCTCAAGCTCTCAGTGTGTGAGAAAGTAGACTTTCTCACAGGCAATAGCTGCAGCTTGCTGACTGCAGCTAACAGTGGAAAATTACCTCTGACCAGACTGTCAGCATCCACATGAAGGCATCATGTTTTTCTTTCAGCTGCTACCCCTCAACCATCCTGCTTGTATCATGGGAGTATGAGCAACCTTTTGGCCTCTCTCTGTTGGCCATTCCTTTGTCTCTGCCTTAATACTTAACATGGGGCATGACAGGTTTGCCAGGCACAGCCCTGTGGAGTGAGGAGGATATGGTCTCTCTATATCAACTGTTGTTACTGCCTGCCAGTCGGACATGAAATGCACTGTCTTGGTTTTGTGTTGTTTGTATGCTCCCTGGGAGCATGATATGAATAATGTGTGTTATTGGAGATGATGGTGAGTGCTAGTTTCTACTGGACTATTAAGTTTTGGCTATTAGTGATACTACAGACTTGGCAGATAACATATGCTTCTGAGGCTTTTCAGCAAGCCGTATATATATCTTGGAATTAATATTAAAGCAGAAATATTTTTTTTCCCTTTTCCAGTAAACTGCTGCATAAGAGAGAGAATGAGAAGGTAGATGCCCAAGAAGAAAACTTTCTACCGAAATACCAGCGTGTGAAAGACCTTTGTCAGCGAGCTGAGTATCAAACAGCTTGTGAACAGTTTGGCCAGGTAGGGCATTGTACCCCTCACTGAAAGTAAGCAGTGGTAGTTGGACTTAGCTTACACCTTAGCTGTGACACTGTCCTTCACCTTGTCATCAGTGCCAGCTTATAAATCGAGTGGCTCATGCTGTGGCCTTTGCTCAGTACCATATTACAGCATTTATGAAATTGACTGTCAGTCAGGAAATTGCTGATTCAAGTGCCTCTATATTGATTCCTGACTACTGTTAAGAGAACTGCTTAGGCTATTTTAACATTTTATTCCCCAAATAGAATGTGGTTTGGGATTCATTAGTGGTGAACCTGATCAATTGATTAAGAGCAGCTTCATCCAAATACGTATAGCTCAATTTGAATTCTTAATTTAACTCATTCTGTTGTTACCATTTGGAATTACATATAATATTGGGAAACTAACATTCTGTGAACTCAATCTATCTCTCTTCAAAACAAAGATACATGGTGAAAACATGTGCTGCTATTACTGCAGGCAGCCTGTGTGTATGTGAGCACAAAGCTCAGTGATAATGTGTCCTTTCCGTTGTAGTTGCATAACTGTTCTGGGCAGATATGAAAATATGGTCACTTTATATCCAGGTAATGTAGAAGACATTCAGGAAAAATTTAAAGCAGTATCAGTATGTAGTCTCAGTGCAAGGGGAGGGTTTGCAAAGTCACCAGAGCAGTGCAAAAGTATAGCAAAACTATCTCCTGCAGCTCTGTTCTTGAGGAGACTTCTTCACTCTTGGGAGTGGCAGACACTGACATGATCTGACTGGCTTACCGAGGCTATAGTCTGTAATGGGCAACTTAGGCTACAGTGATTCATTTTCTACTGTTGGAGGCCAGACTCCCAGCTTCTGGCTCTACCAGTCATTTAGTTCATTATTCCGTAGATGTTTGGATCCAATTTATAAGTGTTTTCCAGATGCTTTTGTTCTCCTGTGACTTCTTTGTCAGATTCAGTAATGTCCCATTCTTCCTTAAAATACTGAACTTAAAGAAATATTTTGTTCACTAGCTTATTGTCATCAGATGTCTGGAGCTGAAGTTTTAGCTGGGTGGGAGCAAGCCATTGTTTTTTGCATTTGCAGTGTTCTTTGAGAAGCTGGGGAAAAAGTCATTGTTTCTGCTACATCATCCAGTAAAGTAGTTTAGGGAAATGCAGCTTTCTTTTTCCATCACTATTTTCCCTTGGAGAGATGTTTTTACTTCTTCCTTTTGTCTTCATCTTCCCAATTATTTTGAACATTATTGTAAGAACAGAGTGGAAGAGAGAATTTCTAAGTCCATGTTGTCACTGAAGCTGTCTCTTTGCATAAGGTAACTTAGCTACATTCAGGCTTTTTTACTCTAATTACCACATGTCTCAGTTATGGAAGAAAGGAGGAAGGATCTGTATTGTCTACACACGTTCACAGGCTTATGTTTTCTTCCACGGATAATAAAATATCTTTGCCATCTGTAAGAAGTGGGCATAAAATGTCAGCGCCGTACGCAGAATTGCCAATAAGTTCTGACGCGAAGGTGTGCTAATAAGAGATGCATGTGCTGCATCCTCATTGTCAGGAGACAGAGAGGAGAAGAATTGTTTTGAGCAGTTCAGTCAGACATAATTGGAAGTGATAGGATGAAATTGAGCAAAAAAAGAAATTTAAGTTGGACATCAGGAAAAATTGCCTAACAATCAAGTCAATTAGAGTCTGGGAAGGGCTCTCAAGGGAATCTCAATCCATCTAACTGCTGCTCTAGAGAATATGTCCTAGGAGTCTGTCTAGACAGCAGGCATAGTGCAAGATGAATGTGCTTATTTGAGGATAAATTTGAGGATAAAATGTGAGGATAAATTGTGTGTGAGGATAAATATGGGTGCACCCGAAAGTCTTTTCAGAGTAACTTCTCAGAAGATAAATGGGTGTTGTCTGTCACTGGTGCTGTTCACAGCTCTGCATAGTAAGTAGAATGAACCCAAAGGAATAACATACTGGTGCCTTGGGGGAGTTTATGGTACACAGATACAGTGGTTATTTTGCAGATGTCTCCTGATTCTGCAGTACGCTTCGTTATTGTGCATTTAGCAGTATCTGGAGTGTTCGGTGCAAAACGTGAATATTCACATCCTGATGCAAAGATGAAGAGAAGTCTAGGTCAGAATTAGATGAAAGCTTGCTAAAGTCATTGGGACTCTTGACTTAAGTTTTGGGGACTTGCTGTTCCATGCACAGAGAAGTCTGAGCAGTGCCAGGGAGTCTGAAGTGTGAGCAGGAGTCGAGAAGCGCAGAGGACAAAGACTCAGAAGGGGAATGAATAAGACGAGACAAGGGCAGAGCTCAGAGTAAAGGAGAGGTAAAGAAGGCTTTGAAGGTGAGGTGGAGAATTTGAAATTCTTCTTGTTGAGCGTGCAAGTTTGTGAATACAGTTCTATCACCACAAAATGCTCTTCCTTTGCAAATCTCTTACCATCCTTGACCTATAATAATTTTGATAAGAGAGGACCAGGATCATGGAGATGAGGCTATTCACGCTGCTTAAAGCCTTGTTTCAGAGTCCATTATGTGGGATTTTTTTTGGCAACGCTAATATATGTAAATTCTTCTGAGTGCAATGGGAATCTGTGTTGCCATGTTTTCTTTTTCAGTTAGTAAGGTTTGGTCTGTGTTAGTTATTTGCATCCAACAAAGGGTGACTGTAGGCTCAGATGAAAGAGCAGCTCAGCATTTATATTCAAGGATTTAAAAGAGATGAGCTCTTTCTTCCCACATGAAATAAAAAATATTTATCCTTGTACCTAATGGTTTCCACACAAATTTTTTTCTCCTCAGTGTAGTTCAGCCTTTTATTCTCAACTGGCTGGTAAGTGGAAGCTGACCCACTTTTATCTGGCGGCCTGCATTAATGTGCTTTTGTGGAAGCCAATTATGATATCAGCATTGCTCTGTAGAGTATGCCCAGCAACTCCACAGTATCATAACAACAGCTGCACAAAATCTCCCTCTAAGTCATTTGCCAACTTTGTGCACATTTGTTGAACATGCAATACCTGCACTACTGCTGCTTGTAACAGGGAAACGATGCTGCACGTGTCAAAAAAAAAATTTTTTAAAACAAAATTAATTTAATCTTTAGAAGGACCTGACACAGTACAATAATATTGCTAACTCCTAAAGAAAAATGTTTGTCTGAATTCACATTATTTCCTTTTCAAATCTTTTTTATGTTCAGAGCTCTTTTTATGGGAAAACCTGATACAGGTAGAATTTGCCTTTTAAAAGCATTTTAAATATCATTTTATATGACGGTTTTCACAGGAGAATGTTCAAAATGGAAAAATTTGCATTTTGTTTCCTTTAGATGTTCTGCAAATGCAAGGTTTGATACATAGTCATCTGATTGTATGAAGAATTATTCTGTTTTGTAGCTGGCTTGTCACTTACTCGATTGGTCCCTCCAGTTCTCTGACACAGCATGGCACAGCAATGATGAAAACTGTTCTGATCAATGTGTGCTTTACTACAGCAATTGCTAAGTGGTTCCTCTAGATCATATTCCTGCCACTGCAATCATCATTAGCCATTGCTTAGTGCCAAGGGTGGAGCAGCAGAAAAGATGACTTATATTTTCTCCTTTTCCTGAGGACACTGTAGCTTGACCTTGTTAGCCAGACATAGGAAACTGTCAGGTTTTATAAGGAATTTCTTTAAAAACTAGGAAGAAAGTTTTTGATCTGTGTATCCTTTGTGGTTGTCCGGTTCTTTTGTACCTAGCAGAGATGTCCTGAGATTACTAAAGAATTCCAGTTCTGTTGATGTATGAAGCACATCAAGCCAGCTGGAGTCCAGATAAATTTTAATAGCTCTTCAGGCGGACCTTTGCAGTTCCTGGATCCCAGTGTGAGTTGCATGTGTTCAGCAACTTTCAGAATCTGGTTCTTAATCTGTGATTGCAACAAGAAACGACTTGTTGATAACTTCATGCGTTAAAAATTTTATCAGCCCTCAAACTGATAAAATTAAGAGGCTACAAACCATGAAAATTAAAATCACGATGATTTATTAAGGTTGCTATTCAAGGATTGTGTTCCTTATCAGGAATAATAATTAAGAGAACTGTTTTCTTTCTTTAGCCAAAAATAGCCTGTAATGATTTCCAGAGGCTGTGTTACAGGGTGTTTTTGCTTGTTGCTTCACAAAACCAAGAAATTTGCATCTTTTTTACATAAGATTTTTAAACTCTTCATCATTACAGTAGTAGTCATTGCAAGTAGCTTGCCAAAGTCAATACCAACATTTAATAAGCCCCTCAGATTTTTCAAATATCCTGCTAATGAGTAGCAGTGCAGCTTAGTTCAAAAGACAATGAGCTGCAGGCCAGGAGACTGGCTTCATCCTCAGAACTGTTGTGGACTTGACCAGGGACCTCAGGCAAAACAATTCCCCTTTTGGTGCTGCTGTGCTTTTCCTCCACCACTAATGTAACTTCTGCTTAGCCTGCACTCACTCCTTAGCTTCTGGAGTACCTAACACAGAAGCTAGGACCATTTGATACCACAATCCCATTATTATATTAATAATAAATGAATTATATAATTATAATCTTAAATTTAGCTGAATGCTTGATTTTCCATTTGCATGCTATTTCAGCGTCCCACCTGCCTCACTTCAGCTACAGTTTGTGGCATTAAAAAGCTCTCTAAATTTTTTGTCAATAAATTGGTCATCCATCTTACAATTTTAAGGTTTGAGCGGTATACAGTGTGTGACCACTGATACTGAGCTGAGAGCCCAGGCCTGAAACTCCAAAAATCATGAGTCAATGTAATGGAATAATACCTGGTTGGAATGAGGACCAGGCAGTGCTCTCTGTCTACTGATGACATGTAACAGAAGAAACCAGACTCGTCCTTTGCCAATGGGTAAACTGGAAGAACTTACAGAGGGGGAACAAAATATGTTAAAAGACTAACAAAATAATACCTGTTGGGAAAAGCTAAGGAACTAGGCATATTCAGTCAAAAAAGCTGATGAGGGAGGGATCTGTCTGCATACTCTCAAGATCTGTTATACAGAAGACATGAGCCAGTTATTTTCAGTCAACAAGAACAGAGATGTAGTAATGTGTATGAGACAAGGGGAAATTCAAGCTGACTGTTTCCTGAAACCTGAAAGATCTGAGCAGCAGGATGAGCTGCCAGCAAAAGCAGCAGAACTACCTTTTGTCTTCCTGGGTTTTGCTGTTTCGTCCTTATTAGCCCAATAAAAAAATTACACAAGGAGCAAACTGCAGCAAAGATAAGAGCTAACTGAACTGTAACTTTAGTTGGTCTGTGCTAATTAATGTGTGTTGTTTTATACAAGAAAAAAGTATCTTGCCTCCTCAGAAATCAGTTTAAACTGGAAATTTGAACATTTCTGGCTATTAAAGCGGCTTGCATCTAGCTCACCTTCTAGTGCAGCAGCAAGGGTGGGGTTCAGAAAGCATCTGCATAAACTAAAGGTGACAGATACTGATAAAAGCGTTTTTGTCAGGTTGCTGGCAGGGACAGGGGACAGTACTATCCTGCAGAGACTTTGATTCCTACAGAACTGTATTCCTAAAACTATTAGGGAGGAAGCCTTGCTGCCTGCTAACTGATCAGACAGTTTCACCTTTCTTCTGTAAAAGGGAATGGAAACTCTCTTGCTTAACTGAAAGAGGAGCTGATGAGACACAGCAGGGTGATTTAGGGCTCAGCTCTGAGAGCTGCATGTTTCAACTGGAGTCTTACAAGGCTTGTGTGATCAGCCCTTTTCCCCCAAAGAAAACAATGTCAATTGAGAGAGATTCACTGAGGGAAATGAGTGAATTGTAGGAAAAGATCCTACAGGGAAGGTCATGGCTATTTATTTCTGATTTGGCCCTCAAGTAATGACTTTGAATTAACATCTGTGGTTGCTGTAGTGGTAAGAAGATATCGATGCACAATAATGCAAGAACCACTTCATGGTGATGAGGGCTGTGAAGGAAATAATGGGCTTTTGACACACAGAAAAATAAGTCTTTTTCTGCAACGGGGCCATTTGCATGTTCAAAGTGAATAGTGTTACTAGAAGGAGACAGGGCATCTGTTCAATCTACAACTGCTGTTGCTAAGCTTCATGTTTTATAGGTACTGAAGTTCTAGTTTACTCTTGTTGATACATACAGCAGGTAGTTTGGGCTGGAAGGGAGACTATCCGTTACAGACTGTCTTGGTTTTGCCTTTGCAGTGTACATTTGAATATTTCTGTTCGCTAGCACTAATTTCTCTATTAAACTAAGTCCCAGACTCTTCTGCTTTGCACACAAATAACTGACTAGCATGTGTTGTACAGTGGGAGGTAGGGTAGAGGATGAAGTAGAAGTGTTAGAACAAGCCCAGCACAGCAGGAGGCAGAAAGCACAGTCACAGCAGCTAACTTGGCCTGCCTGAAGATGGTGGGAAAACTCCAGCTGGAGGAGCTTTAATGATTAAATGAGGTGTCTGGAAAGTTTTGCACGTGATCTTGATGGACTTCAGGACACATTACAAAAGCCATTTATTTGATAGCTTGAGTAGCTCTTCTGCAAGGATTTCAAGTAGGAAAGAAAGGTTCTTGCTTTGGAGTTTTGATATGAACTGGGATGAAGACTGGTGGGAGCCTGAGCTTTCCACTGACTTAGTTTCTATTAAACTACCCTCCCTTTCAGGACTTAGCTCTTGAGAGATGTCATGATCTCTAGAACTTGAATTAGGAACACATCTTTGGGCCAAAGGAAGAAAAGGCCTGAAAAGTTTGGGGCAAGTGGTGAGATAGGGACATTTTGTTTTCTTGACTGGTTGAGTTAATCCACTATTTATATGTAATTATGTTTTGCTGCTGGATGGTTATCATTGGTACCTGTGAGCCAAAGTATCTCTGGGGCACTCTTGGAGTTTTTCATATAGGGATTTAATTAAGTGATTACCTCTTATAAAATATTTTAGTTGCTTCCAGGGTTTGACACAGGTTTCTGCATGATGGTATGCTGTGCACTAGAAAACAATTTATAATGCCAGAATTCATGATATTCGAAGCTTCTTGACTATCAAGCAGAGGTTTTCACAGTTCCTTGCAATTACTGAACTTTTTCCCTAAGCTGGAAAGCGTTCTATGGAAATGACCCTAATTGATACAGCCATAATATTGACCTAGAGAATTTGCATTTATTACCTACAAGCAGACCAAGAGTAAATTATTGAATCCCAGACACATTTACATGTGTGCCCCTATCTGTTTGGCTTGAGAAAAGTTTTTCTCAAGAAAGCTTGAGAGTTTCCACTTTCCTCCCCACCCCCACCATGCATTCAGCGTTTGCTTCTAAGGACATTTATGTAGTTCTGCAGTTATTCAACAGTGGGCTTGTTAATTAATACAATGTGCCCTTGCAGCAAAGCCTTTGAGATGTTTTCACTGCAGCATGCAGCTGCCTTGGAAAGATTTAAACTGCACCAAAAATTAAAGGATTTTTTTCCAGTTCACCTGGAGGGGAAAAATGAGCATGGCTTTCTTGACAGGGGATGAAAGAAGTAGAGAAAAAAATATTTTTGGGCCACACATCAGAGCATTTATTTACAGTAGTTCCTATCATGGCATTTAACTTCCCCTCTGAGTCTTCATTTTTCATGTATCGAGACACATACAGTGTAGAGCTGTACTGAGCAGAAAGTGCAGTTTGTTCATATATTTCAAAAATAAGATTCAGATGAATTGAAATGGGAAATGACAACATTATTACATCTCCATATCTTTGTGAAAGTAAATGTTGCTTACTTTAGTAAAATAACTTAAAACCTCAGTCTGTATATTGATCAGTGTTAGGAATTTATAAAAAATAATAAGAATTAAGACTCAGCAATTATTCTTCAAAAGTTGTTTGTGTTCTATACCTCATTTAGGTAAATGTGTCCCGCTTTACAAAGATGCCTGATTCAAATGTCTTATAGTCAGCATCATTGATTTCCTGTGATTCCTTGTGCTGAAAGTTAAGCCAGTTTTATCTGCATCAGTGCAAGGCTTGGTTTGTGCAGGACGTTAGAGACAGTATCTGCACTGAAGAGTAGGTACAGCTCAGGAGACTCAGCATCCAATAGCCTGAGGAAATAAGTAGACACACCATAAAGCTGGTTGTTTTAAATGAGAGGATCTCCCATGAACACAGATGAATGCATTGTAACTGGCCAGTGCACTTCTGACTCCTGTTAAATTCTGTATTATAAAAGCACAGTGTTACTTTTTAGCTTGCTGTCATGGAGTGAGTTTCAATGGAGAATGCAGGCTTTGTTGTCCTAGCCTGGGCACACCCCTCCACGGGAACTGAAGTGCTTGAATCTTCCTTGTAGAGCTGCAAGCTGCTGTAAAATGTCATCTCACTTGGGAGCTGTTGCTGTTTTTCCTTCTATTCTTTTATTTGGAAAAATCTCAATATTCCAGTGAGTCTTGGAGGTACTGACAAGTTTTTGTAGTAGGGAAAAAGAGGAACGCCTCTCAAGACTCAGCAAAAAGCTGAAGTGTTTCTGAGAGTCTCTATGTAAAGCAGTAGTAACTGCTACTGTGAGGTTTTTTTACATATCTCAAAGCCTAGCTCTGTACCTAGTAGCATGCTGGTAAATAAAGGAGTAGGTGAAATTATTTTGTCTCTGGGAAGCGGGTAGAACTTCTATGCTAGACTGAAGGTGGCTAAACTCTGTTGCCCTTGGCACAGCACTGACAGCAGCACAAAGGAAGCACAAAGCAAGTTACTTCAGGTTTTGAGTAACAGAAGGAACTGGAGATTAGAGATGAGATTTTATCTCTGTTGAGTGGAAGAGGGAAGAGATTCTCACTTCACAGGCATCCAGGGCAGCTCACCATTGCTAGTCAAGCTCAAGGCTGTTGAGTGGGAAAAGCTATTAAGGGAAACGCTCAAGATGGAGACAGGCTCATCTAACAAGCTTCCATAGATGACCCAGTCATACCGACCCTTTTAAAGGTCAGTGAAGAGAAACAGGCATTTCTGCAGGGCAATCCTTTTTGTCTTTTACATAGCCACCTTAGGATGAAGTGAGTTTTATACCCTGGAAGTGGCTGTTCCTCTCCTTTGACTGCAGAATGACTCTAGATAACCAGCTCAGAATGGATCTTTACAGTAAAGGAAATCCACAACTCAGATAAAATCATCCCATTATCAGGCATTTTAACTAGATTTTTTTTCCCTTCTGGTAGAGTATGGGGTGAAACTGAGATTATATTCGGGCCTGGAGCTTGGAGCTGCTTTAGTGGCATAACATTGGCATCAATTCTGCCATCCTGACAAAACACAACTGCTGGTAGGAGGGGATACTTTTCAAACCTGTGGATAAGGTTCAGACGTCCTTGGTTTATGCCATAGCTATGCTGCTAAAAGTTGTCAGCTCTGTGGTTTTAGCTGTAGTGTTGAAATTTCCATTGTTCTGTCTTCAAGGAAAAAATGAGAAACAGATGCAAGGCTGTTCTAAAGAGTTTCTGTTCTCTCTGAAAATTGAAGATTACAAAAACCCTGTTTTGATAGTAGGTGATAGATGAGTCCCAGCTTCCTACAGTGAGGAATCTCAGCTAGATTACTGGAGCCGGCCATTAGACAAAGCACAGCTGGGACAGAGTTTTAATGACAAAGTTTTTCTTCCAGAAATGGCAGTGTGTGGAAGATGCCAGTGGAAAACTCAAGCTGCACAAGTGCAAGGGAATGGCAAACTTGGCAGCTGCAGGCAACAGCAAAGGCAACTCCAATATTTTGCCCAAGTATTACAACAGGAATAGTGAAGACTGCAATTGTGAAGAGAATGAATACAAGCTGAGCCACGTTGGACGGAGAAAGAAACTCTTCTCCAAGAAAAGTAAGTTGACTAACTGTCTCTGCCTTAGAAAACTGTCGTTTCTTCATGAATGTACATAGTTGTCCTGATTTTCATGGGTGTTGAATTCTATCAGTGTATATAACTATGAAACAGCCCGCCTCATATTAGACAGATTGGAAAACAGCTCTGTCTCTCAGAAGAGGAATGTTTTGATCCAAAATAGTGTCCTATATTAATGTCTTTCAAAATTAGGAAATGTAGTACACTCACTGAAATGGCCAGTAGCTCATCATTACACAGGCCGTGAAACAAGAACAGTGTTTTACAGCAAATACTCCAGTTTTCAGTAGGTTTTGCAGTGCTTGGAGCTGTTACTGCAGTGATTTATTTTTAATAAGAATGTGTGTGCTTTGTTACAGAAGCTGCTTGCTTCTAACATCTTTCCTTTGTGCTCAGTCAGCAGAGACAAGCCTGCCTTTTAACCAGAGATCATGTCAAGAGGGGATGATTCTGTTTCTAGTTTCCTTGGCATAGATCAGGTGCTTTTTCAGAAGGCCTATTCCACTGGCTCTGTGTTAAACCTTAGTCAGAATAACATCTATATTTGAAGTACACAGTCTAATTATAGATTAAAGAGGCAAACAGCAGCACAGAATTACTGTTCACTTGTAATGTTTCTTTCGTCTCACTCCACGAATACAGAGCCTTAATTATTTAGCAGGTTAGTCTTTCTGTATAATGACCTGGCACAAGCTTCAAACAGAGAGTTTAAATTGATTTTCTCCCATTATATTTGCCTTTCAATCTGATTAGTACCCACTAAGCTAATTTTTAGTTGAAAAAAAATTATTGGTTCCAGGATGAAATTACTCAACTATACTTGGTGTTTAAATATATGACGCAGCAGATAATCTTTAAGTAACGCTGGAACTTGCAGATAATTTTTTTTACTTTTTCAAAGTCACAGAGAAGAAAGTTCAGTCCTGGGGAGTCAAACAACAGGAGCAGATTGAAGGCACTTAAATGAGAGGAGGAGAACAATTTAAGTGGGGACAACATAATGCTATCTGATAATACTTAACGCTTATTACTTTTCATCAGTGTGCTATGCTTCCTAAACATTAACTAATTTTCACAACATGTAGGAGATGGTTAAGTGTATAATTACCCTCAGTTTATGTATGACGGAGGTTGAGGTAAAAAAAGTGAATGTTTTTCCCTCTAGCAGAGGAATCAGAATCATTATTTTTTTACACCTTGTGGTCTTCTCGGAAGAGGCAGAGTTTATACTGTACCCTTCAGTTCATTTTGCCTCCTTAAACCAAGGCATAAACTTCACCAGCTTAAGACAGGATCTTGACAGTCACGTTCCCATTGTTCATGTCTTCATTAAAATAATTGACTCCACAGATGCTTTGTTTTTTCCCACTGCCCACATCTAGGGTGTGGCAGACAGTGGAAGAGGTTGAGTTGGGCCTGTTGACACAGCCTGGTTTGGTGTTGGCTGTTGTTTTACATGCACTTACCTAATAAACCACACGCTGAGCACAGGTGAGCACCAAGCCATGCAAGCCAAGGTCACGTACCCAGGTTTTTCCAGGTAGCTTACCTAGAAAGCTGCCTCACTGGATTGTGGAGGGTGAGAAGGTGACCTGGGTACTCAGAATGTGTATTTGGATTTTTAGGACCCGTTTCATGAGATTTGGGATAAAATGCAGTCTGTGCTGGGCTGCATAGTACTGAGGGCATCTTTGGGGTCTTCTACTCAGAATTTGAGTGCACAGGGTTTGTACTGCAGCCCTACTTGAATGCCAGTAAATGCTGTTCATCATATTGGACAATAGCTAAATAGAACATAGAAGGTTTTAAACTGGACTATGGTCACATCCACATTAATGCTTTAGTTCACAGCAATAGTGTCATTTTGAAGGGAATACCCTGATCACTCCCTTCTGTCATGCACAGTGGAGATGGGTTTGCAGAGAGCAATTTTGACGGATTCTAATCTACAGTTTATTTGCAGAAAATTAAATTGGATATCCTGCTTCTAGAGTGCATCAAGTATGTTGCAAAGCCTGATGAGGGTATGGGGATTGGTCTTTCAGCAAGATTAAAACCAGTCATGTGTAGTAAGAACATGTGGTCTAAAAGACCAGACTGAATTGCTGATAGAGGGGCTGCAGCACCAAATGTTTTGATAAAATAATTACTTTCTAATGCAGGCATGGTCTAAACCCACTGTGAAGTGCACCAGTGCATTTAGCAGGCAACAGTGTTTTCTAAATGGAGTAAATTCAGTTGCAAAACTGGGTCATGCACAAATGCACAACTTGCCTGCCAAGCCTTTACCTGCTGGAAACACCTAAGTGCTATCACTCCGTGTGGCTGGCTTTGGGTGTCAGGAGGGTTGGCATTTCTGTGTCCTTTTTATTTTCTTTTGTATATTTTTAGTTTTAGCAGAAAGATGAAACAAATCTTTGCAGTAGGAAGAAAGTTTGAAGTAATAGTGAGTTCTTAAAATCTTTGGCTGTGTTGTGGTCTATTATGTTTTTCTTGCTGTGGATTTGATCTCCTCCTCCTGTGATAAACAAGTGCATGTGATTAAAGGAGTTATTAAGCTGCATGTAGAGAAATGATGACAGGCCACGCAGACTTGTAAACAACAAACAGAAGGGTGTACAAAAAGGCTAGTGCATTTTTATTCCAATTTTCATGTCACTTTTCTTTTGAGGTAGTCTCAATGCTGGAGCAGAATGACCTTTTTTATTAAAAATCAAACCAACCTGTACATCAGTTACATTAAAGGTAATGCATTTGAAGTATAATTCTTACTGGCAGTTGTGAAAAACTGGATATAGGAAAGTTTTTGGGGTTGTTTGTTTTTGTTTTCCACTTTGAAATATCTAAGGGCACAGATTCAAAAGATTTCTAGAAATCTCTAGGTACATAACGGTTAAGCAAAAACACCTCTATGCCTTTATCTGTGTTTCTAGACATTTGAGATACTTTCAAGAATTTGACTTCAAGGTGCCTAACGTTTACTTTGACGTTATAGAAAAAATGTCCCTACAAAATTCTGCAATATATATAGACAATATTGGGAAATGTCAGGCAGGAGTTCCTGGGTCTAGTGGTGGATATTTGCCTCATGGCACATGTAGAAGCAGAATCCTTGGATACTCGCTTATTCTGTCATCATTGTGATGCTAAAAAATAGGTCCAAAATAGGTGCGTAGAGTAATTGTCATCAGTGAGGACCAAGAGTTCCCAGTCTTCTGCAGTGTCCCTGCTTTGGAGAAGTTGTCATACAGTAGTTGGACTTAGTATAGTCTTCTTTGTTATCTCTGAGAGAACTCTCATTTTCAAATGATCAGTGTTAAATCATTAATTTGGCAACTGCAAAATAAGTAATAAGGCTTGACTGGTGAAGATGTGAAAAGAGTTGCATATAAACCTGAAGGCTGGGAGTGTTTGTCAGCACAAAGTTTACAACATTGTCTTGCTTGATATGGTTGAATAATGATTTTGGACACTTCAGTTCATGCTTTTGCTAGACAGTGTTGAAACCTGAGATACTACCAAAAAAAAAGTTGTAAAAAGTCAGGTGTGTTTGAGTCTCTAGACTGTCTGGAGTTATCTGGGCAGAATAATGTGCTACCCCTCAGGCTCCAGCAAGGACAAGGGCAAGCATGCTTGTCAGGTGCTCCAAGAAGACAGAGCTGGATATTTGGGGCACTGAAACACAGTTAACTTTTTTGGGCTTAAACTTCTCCAGACTCCATTTCCAGATTCAGTTCTGAGGCTGCAACTTTCTAGCAGTACCCTCTCTGTAAGAGAGCTGGCTTCAGGCAGAGCAGAGGCGTGAGGCACTGGCACTGGGGCAGCTTGCCAGAGCCAAGCTCTGGTAACTTGCAAAGGGCGTACGGGTGTTTCGGGCCAAATATTTAACAGCCCTGGAGCTACTTTGTTTGTGGGCTGTGTACACGGGCAAATGAATTGGAGGTGGAAACTTAAACCTGGGGGAGGATTGGCTGCAACTAATTAAACATTGCTCTTTATGCCTGCAGTGCACTTTGCAGGTGGGAGAGCACAGCACAGATGAATATTGATCTTATTAAAAGTCTTAACCGCTTCCTTTGGGAAGAATGGAGTTCGGTGCTACCTGCAGTGCTGAGTCAGGCCTGTGGGTCGTGCCTGGCGAGGAAGCCATACGAGTCCTTTAGGAGCTGTCTCACCCTGCACCACTTTGTTCGTTGTAAGGCTGCGTGTTTGGCTGCAAGGGAGGAGTAACTCCTTGTTTCTTCCTCTTCAGGGACATGTGTAGACGCTATCTGCTGAGGTCCAACATGCTAGATTGGCATATTAGACTTGGAAGGAAGGTAAATTGTTAGTTGGCTGAGCTTAACAAGATGAAATGAGGGAACAATTAAAGAAATAGGAGTTTATACTTTGAATATAATTGTTAGGGTGTAGCTTTTTGGAACTTCCTCCGACTTATGAAAAGATGGGAGTTTCCTTCTCATTTTGTCAAACATTTCCTGAGTGGGTGCCTGAAACAGGGTTGGTCTTTGGATTTTTTTTTTTCCCCTTCAGCAGTGACTCACCTGGCTTAATATCAGCAATAAACTTTGAACCACAGGTGGAAAATGCACAAAGCCAGACAATCCAGCTGGTATTCCACTTTCTGTGTGTGTTGCTGACAGGAATATAGTGCTTGGACCAATTTCAGGTGGGAGGAGATATTTACTTCTCTTCCCAAAGCCTGAAAAATTGCTTTTGAGACCTTGCAATCCATTTGGAATTAATGTAAGGCTTCCTGAAAAAAAGTCACTCTGCCTTAATGCCAAACATGCCAACTGATGTGACTGTTTATTTCAGTGTTGGCTGTTCTACCTCCCATTCAGTTTGCCTTTTTTCCCCTGCTTGTTCTGCTGGGGAGATTATCCCACAGAAGAAGGTGGCTTTTCTGTGGAGCTTGGGATTGCAAGGAAAACTGATCTTCTCATTTAGCACATTGGTGGAGTTTCACCCTTACCAGAGTGCAGAAGGGGATCCTGTCTGGTGAGGTGTGCTGTGTGTTTCAGCTCTGTGTAAAGGTGAGGTGACCAGAGGAGCCAAGGGACTCGACTGTTTCCAGTAATGTCTGAGATGACTCCAAGCCTCGTATACAGAGCCAACAACTCGGGCACTGGGCAGGGAGAAGAGGAGAGGCTGTGGTACTCTAGGCTGTACTTTTTTTCCAGCGAATGAGATGGTTGTGCTTAGTGTGAAGAGTGACTCAGCAGTCACTGACAGTGAGCAGGAAATGTGGTCAGACGCGGACCCCATAGTATCGTACAGTAGGAGAGTTTAGATATGGATTTAGACTCCAGTACTAGGATGTGCCATTCTGGACCAAACAGAAGATGAGCTCTGGGGATTTGGGCTGGGACAGAGAACTTTGGAAAACAATAATGGTGAAAAGATCAGTTGGAATCTCATACTGCATAGTGACAATTCGTAGGAGCCATTTCCTTTTGCCTGTGGGCTGCCAAGGCAGAAGCAAAGTCTGAAGGAGTGAGCAGCACCGGAGTGATGCTTCTTGTGCAGACCCATTGGTGAGGTCCTACATCACACACAATTGTCTTCTTAGCAATTACGTTCCTGGATAAAAGTAAAGATTCAGAGATTAATCCCTCCTGAAAACAATCAAACATCTTACCTTGAAGAATGAGCACAGAATTGAGAAAAGGCTCAGGCTGAACACTGGGAATACTTGGGACAACTTCAGGGAAGTGTCGCAGGAATCCTAGCAGTGGAGCCTTGGACGGGTGGTGGAAATCAGTAGAGAAGTCTGTCTGTAAGGGTGACCCGAGAGCTTGCTGTCCGGGCTGTCCCGGTCAGTTTTTGAGGTCTCACTGCCATCTAGTGACTCATGAGGGAAGAACAGAGTCTCTTTGAGCCGTTTGCTCTCAACGTGGAACAGGACAAATACATTTCCTTTTCCCTCTGCGTTTGGACTGTATCTGTCCTCTCTCTCCTGCCCTGAGGTATCCTCCTGTCCCTGCGAAATCAGCAGCTTTGAGGACAGCTGCAAAACACCATTTGTCATCCAGTTCGTTATAAATGTCACAGCATGGGGTGGTGGTTTTCTACCAAGAACCACAAAGAGGATCAAGTTGTAACATGCTGGGTTTTCTGCTCAGAATCCTTTCAACTCCCTTTCCATGCAGAATACAAACCAAGCTACGTCCGGAGCCGCTCGATCCGCTCTGTGGCTGTGGAGCTGGCTGGAGCCGTTTATAGCTTGGGTTTGGAGGATGGCTACCAGCCTGTCTTACCAAGAAACGTCAGCAAGCGGCAGCAGGCACAGAGGGCTGTCCCTCGTGAGGAGGAGGAGGGGGCAGACGTGCCCGAGTACAGCGGCACCGGTGGCATTGCGGAGTACACAGCCCCTAACCTGGTGAAGGTGACCCACAGGTGAGCGCACGGGGAGGGTTTCTGAGTGCTTCTGCTGCTGAAGTGGTTGCTTTATGTGACTGGGGGTGTTAGCCTGTGGTAAGCACATCATGTCCCTTTTGGATACCCAGTCTAGCTTCCCTGAAATTCTCATTTGTACAGCAGCTTGTAGTTTTGTCATGTACAGAGGGGCATGAAGCTCCTGAAGAACTACAGCAGTGTTTTTGTGTCCTCTGCACTTTGGAGGCAGTAATCACTATCCAGTGTACGTTTCCAAGGAGGACAAGCAAAATGGTTTGCAACAGCTGTGTTGCAAACACCCATGTGAAACCAGGAAAGGCTGAAAACCTTTGAACCTTCTGAAACCTGTAGAAATCTCAGTGGGTAGCCTGGCCTGGCTACAAGCCAAAGGCTCTAACTGGAGTATGGCCTAGTTTCGTGTCGTAGGTTGCTTTGTGTTTCAAACACCAAGTCAGGAAGCAGCCTCAGAGCTTTCTGTAGCCAATGCTAGGAAAGGAAAATCTGTTACGAATGGAGTTGGGTGGTCTGGGAGCATTGGGAAATGGAACATACTGAGAGAGGGGTGAGGGAATTGTCTGGGCACTGTAATAGCTAAAGGTCTGTTCCTCAGTGTGCAAGTCCAGTGGCCCCATGATAGATCTTAACTGTACTTAGTTTAATCACTATCTTTAATTGTGAATTATCAGGAAATCCACCAGTCATTATTGATTACCTGCATTAAATTGTTTAATGACCAGCTCATGTAAACATGCATGAGCCAGTCAGCTGCTGTTGAAATCTGTGGTTTCCATTTGACTTCTGTTCACAGGGTTAGAGGCTCACTAATGTGGGTAGGTTGACATCAGAGTTGTGCACTCTTTC